CAATGACCACTGCAAGGATAACTCATTTCTTGCAGTCAGCTGACTTCTTTATATGAATTTTCTAGGTTAGCTACTAATACACACTTCATTTTGTTAAATATGTTATTGTCTATCTCTGGACAAAACCCAAACAAACAAACTAATAAAAATGCTATTTGGGAACTCAAAGCAACAAGGAGAATTCCACACAAGACAGGTGGGACATGGAGGCAGCCTGCTGACCAATTAGAGCTCTGGAAGGAATCAGGAACATATAAGCACTGTCAAATTTTCTATTGTAATCACAAATCCACAAATTCTGTACTCTACACCAGGACTGTCAAACTCATCTAACCCCTCAGGTCGGATGAGTGACACAGGGCTAGTCCAGAGCATCCAGGCCCACAGACTCCCCTCCACTCCCTGACCCCACACACACAATGGATTCACTGCACACTGTCCCAGCCAGTCCAGGATCCATACAGCACAAGGCACCCATTTCAGCCAGTCCAGGACTCATGCTGGATGTGCTGCTGCACGCACTGTGCGCAGTGTGGGTCTCAGACCGGCTAGAGTGGCCAGTGTGTGGTGTGGATCCCAGACCGGTTGGAACAGGCACCATGTGCAGGACAGTCTGGCTGGCACAAGCATCACATGTAGTGTGGGTCCTAGACCAGCTGGAGCTGGCATCATGTATGATGTGGTGCCCATCCTGGCTGGACTACACCACATATGGCACCTGTTCCAGAACCTGTGTTGTAAGTGGCATCTCCTGAACTGATCAAGAACTGTGCTACACAGCAACCACACCATCTGAAAGTATCCCAGACCAGCTGGAGCAGGTGCCATATGAAGCATGGTTCCTAAAGTGGCTGCAATGGGCACCATGTGTGGTGTGTTCTGGGGCCTGCCCATGCAACTGGCTTGGCATGTGCTGTGGATGGCTTGTGGATCAACTCAACACTAGAGGCCTGAAGACAAGGATCTGCAGGCTGGATTTGGCACGCAGGCCAGATCTTTGACACCTCTACTCTACACCAATGTGATCTCATTTCACTCCATGAATTCAGCTTTTAACTCTACACTCACAAATATACCTACTCACTTCTTCACCTCTGGTGCCTTCTTTTTGTATTTTTTTTAACTTATGAGTACAACTAACCTTGAACTACTGTTGTGGCTTCCCCTGTCCTACCATAATGAGTATGGTGTATATACAGCAGAAATCCAGCCAGTGGCATAAAAATGATACTACAATTCTTCTCATAAAACTTTAATTTCACTTTTGTTTATTCTCGCTTTACATTTTGTTAAAGCAATGTGCCAAGAATTAACAATAAGACCGGCATCATGTAAACAGTAGACACCATTATGCTCTTATTTACACCAGATTAACTCAGAACTTCCCTAGAATTACTCCTGATTTGCACCATTGTAGTAGAGAAAGGAATCTAAGTATTTTCTCTTTACAATATAAGACTTGCATATGGGATTTGGGTAAACTGGCACCAGGCTTTTTATTTCATTTTTCTATGTTGTATTTAATAACTATTTTAGGAACGGTCGAAAGTGAGTGTCAAATCTGGTTACATATTAACTGTATTTCTACTTTATTGCTAACCATGCAAGCTAACAAAAAGAACAACTTCAAAGAGCCCTCATCTGTCCTACTGAAATGGGTTAGATTCAATTAAAGAGAAAAAAGCAAAGAAATAAATGATTAAAATCATCTATTTCCCCTTTACTGCAGGGTGCACTATTATAAAGCTTTCTGTAATAAGACTTCAATGCATCACAAATCCAAACAAATAAGTTTAAACATCATCCCAATCCTTGATAAAAGAACAACAATTGCCACCCGAAAAAATGGTTCTATCCTCTTCTGTTATATAAGTATATAAAGCCATAAAATTGCATGTCACTACCCAATGTGTAAGTGTACTGAATGATTAATACAGCTTTGGCACCAAAGAGTTTGCATTCTAAAGACATAAGCAACAGACAACAGAACAGATGCTGATTTGCATGGTTGGCCTAGCCAGTTCCTATAAAGGCTGGAGGTTTTTTTGCCTTAATTTCAATATTATGAGCTAGTAAGTAAATCTACCCACCTATGTATGGCTATCTGTAATTAGGGTTCTCTAGTACCATGGTACCCTCTCCAAATCCCAGTGGTACTGCCTTGGGCAGGAGCAAAGTCTCAATTGAGTTGCACAGGATTTAACAAACAATGGTACTTGGAGCATTTCACATTCTGGAGTACACCAAGACATAAAAGGTAGGCATTTAGAACATCCCATGCTCTTTGTGTGCCAATACAAAGATGGATGAAGGTCCAGAGACAGGACAGGTAACTTCACAGTTCATCATTAAGCGCAATGGGAGGTAAGACAAAGAGAATAAGAGCAGCAGGACTTCTGACTGTCCATAAGTTTACAGGAAGCCTATAAAAAGTAGGGCAAAATGCACCTGTTTGCAGTCTGTAAAAAAAAAAAAAAAAAAAAAGTGGAGCTGCCCATAAAAACACAGCAGCACCACCTGATGTCAAGCTGGAGTGTACCACCCCACAGGGAGCTCTCATCAGGTGTTGTGCTTCACAGGACCTTGCCCAGAACCCTCCCCCAGTCCAGACACATGTCACTGTTACATCTCTTAGGCTATCGCTTTGGTAAACAGCTGCCTCTAACAAATTCTCCCTTCAAAAGTACAGGAATAGGTGGTGTGGACAGGACAGAGCTTCAGACCAGGAAGGGGAATGCAGTGGCTAGAGGTCCATGCCAGAACACGAGGGAGCAAGGCTGGAGGGGAAAAGACTAGTGGGGCTGGACTGGATGGAAGAGCAGCATGGTGCAGTACGTGGTCAGTAGCAAGAACAGATACGGGCAATTATTTTGGGCCGAGGGCTGCTTACTGAATTTTGGCAAGCCATTGAGGGCCGCATGACAGGCAGCCAGGGGCAGTTAATATTAATTTTCTAAATTTTTTAGGGGCCCCATGGACCAGATAGAAAACCCTGCGGGCTGCATCTGGCCCGCAGACTGCATTTTGCCCACCCCCAAGCTAGAGTCTGGGGGTGAGTAGAGGACCCCTGGGGGGCAGCATAATATAAAACCACTGCTGAAATCAGGTAGGGGTTTTATTTTTTTTTGTTTGTTTTTTACTTACAATCCACAAACATTTTACAGATAACCAAACTTTTTTTTTTTACTTTGGTTGCTGTTATACTCCTAAATTTGAACCTTTCCCTTATCACTCGCATCCAGGGCCTGGCAGAAGGACTGCATTTACATTATGTAAAATATGCCTCTGAAAAACCAAGAGTCAAAATATTTGCAACATGCCCTTCCTATCAGTTGCTCAGCTCTCTCACGGCAAGTACACATCTCACATCTCTTAAATTAAGAATAAAGAATATTACCTGCCGAATCCTACTCAATTTTGATTTATGTTTCAAACAGAATCCCATTCTTGATTGTTTAGACTGCAGCCCTTTGGGGCATGTTTGTTCTTTATTCAATGCTTGTAAAGTGCCTAGCACACAGTGGGACTTCAACCTCTACTGAGGTCCAGTGACACAATGGTAAAACAACTTAAAAACATAAATAGTCCAAATTAGAGTCAGATATTTTGGTTGCATCTTCAAATCTGAAGCTATCTGTGTTTTTCTTCATTTAGTGTTCTACCACAACTACGTATGTTATAAAGTTATACCATCCATCAAGAAAACATGTACCAAATTACATTTTAGGGTCCTGAGTATATGAAGCAGAGCCATACTGAACTCTGACCAACTAAGAATTATAGAGTAATAACTATGTACACAACCATCACTTAATAAGCATTTTAGTAAAACAACTTTGAAGATGCACCATAAAGTGCAAAACTACATCTAATGTATTCTATACGTAACTTTAAAAACAGAAATTTCAGTGTCTCCAAACACTGAGACTAGTTATGTTTTTTTAAAAAGTGAATGAATCCAAGTGCTTAGGCATGTATCCAGAGCTCCTATTCAGCCTAACGGTTTCCAATGGCATCTGCCAATAAGAAAGATGATGCAGTGGGAACAGGGATGAGCCTGTGACATTGGAAATCCAGATTCAGGATCCTTGCTCTACCACAGGCTTCCAGTGTTGTTTGGATTGAGTAATTTAGCTGCAGTTTCCCCATCTGTAAACCTAGGATAATAACATTTCCCTACCACATGAGACAGATGAGGATAAACACACTAAAGAGCAAGAGGCACTCAAGCATTACTACAATGAGAACTTCTTAGTAGATGGAGATCTTCAATATCATTATTAAAATGGAAGGTTAATAGAGCCTTGGTCCCAAGGAACTAGATTATAAGTACAGGGAAACAACTCTACAGCAACACAGAACAGATGATGTTTGGGTGATCTGGCCAATACCTTTAAAGCCTGGAGTTGTTATTGCTTTAAACTCCATATTGTCATTCCACCTTCCCATTTAATTAACTATAGGGTAGGTCTTGCTTGACCAATTTCATTTCCTTTTAAGACCAGGTGACTTATCACCTGGACAAGGGAGAAGAGATTGATGTCATATATCTTGACTTCAAAAAAGCCTTCGATCTGGTATCCCATGATCACCTCTTGGCAAAACTTGCCAATGGTGGCCTTGGGTCCACCACGATCCGCTGGCCGGAAAATTGGCTCCATGGTTGGACCCAGAGGGTGGTAACTGATGGAAGTCAATCATCATGGTGCCCTGTGACCAGTGGGATCCCGCAAGGCTCTGTCCCTAGACCCATATTTTTCAACAACTTCATTAATGATGTGGACATTGGAGTTAGAAGCGGACTGGCCAAGTTTGCCAATGACACCAAACTTTGGGGCAAAGCATCCACATCTGAAGACAGGGGGGTGATCCAGGCTGACCTGGACAGGCTCAGCAAATGGGCAGACGAGAACCTGAAGGTGTTTAACATGGAAGAATGCAAGGTTCTCCACCTTGGGATGAAAAATCTGCAGCATGCTTATAGATTTGGCAGTGCTACGCTGGCTAGCACTATGGAAGAAAATGACTCGGGGGTCATCATAAACCACAAGATGAACATGAGCCTGCAATGCAATGCTGTGGCTAGTAAAGCAACCAAAATGCTGGCTTGCATCCATAGATGCTTCTCAAGCAAATCCCAGGACGTCATTCTCACCTTGTACTCGGCCTT